CTGAAAGCAGTAGCATGTGTGGTTCCGGAGTCTGGTTTCAATTCACCATGCAGGTCTGGGGTGTCTGTGCTCTGCTCCCTTGGGACTGCGATACTGGCAACTTCCTTGGTGCGTGAGAACGTCAGTTCCCAAAGCGAGGCGATGGGTTGGGCTGAAATTCCAGCTCTGGGATGTTGGGGATTTATTATCTTGGCTCTCTTGCAAGCATTTTAAGAAAGGAAATTGCTGAAATCCAGAGGAAATAATTTTTTCACAATTTCTGTGCATTCAACTGCAATCCAGAGCAGTGGAATTTCTTAACCAACAGGGCAAAGAAAGGTGTTTGGCCCACCTCAGAAATGGCTGTGGCTTAGGTGTTGAATCGAAAGAGACCAGGTATGAGGGAGACCTTAGAGGTTTCTCCCCAAGACAAGAGGAGGATTCCAGCAGCGAGAACAGTGAGAGGAGGAAGGGGAAGAACATCCTGCACAAGATCTGAGTCCTTCGCTGAGTTAAAGTGGCCAGGTCTGGGAATGTGCATCGCCTCTGTGACTGGTCTGTCTTCTGGCAGAGATGTGAACACAAAACTTGGGTTGTCCTGAACTTCACCCCATGGTCCCCACGCATCTGGCTGCAGAGCATGGGTCCCAGCAGGCCAACTGGAGCCTGCTCTGGTGGGACGGATGAACCAGTCCCTGCTGCCAGCTCCTTCACCGCTCCTTAGGCAATGCCAGGGACCAGCTTTCACCTTCTGAGGCTGAGCAGGCCTTGGCACAGCCCTGCATAAGGGAAATGGTACTTTGTGGTCATCTCCCCTTTTTAAACTCAGCTATAAGACTTGAGGCCATCATGTCTTTTACCTGTAATGCTAGAAGCAAGCATCAATTCCCTCTTCTTCTTACCATAGAATCATAGAATGGCTTGGGTTGGAAGAGACCTTCAAAGACCATCTTGTTCCAACCCCCCTGCCATGGGCATGGGCACCTTTCCCTAGATCAGGTTGCTCCAAGCCTCATCCAACCTCACCTTGGGCACTTCCAAGGAGGGGGCATCCACAACTTCTCTGGGCAACCTCTTCCAGTGTCTCACCACCCTCGCAGTAAAGAATTCTTTTAATTTCATGTCTCAGCCCACTGTGCTACCTCAAGAAAAGCTTGATTTTTGGCCAAAGCAAGGAGCAGGGCATCAGGCTTACAAGTGACCGGCCCTCCTCTCCTTCCCAAAAGCATTCTGGAGTGGCAGCAGTGGGATCCTGCAGGGAGGCTTTGTGCTGCCCCAAGTGCTGTCCCAGCATGGCCCTTACCAGTAGCACTTCAGGGAATGGGTCTGAAAATAGATCAAAGTGAGCCTGGTCAGAAAAGTTACTGACAAATAGAAAAATCGCAGCACTTCTTTTCTTGAACATTTAAGGCTTCAAAAAACAGTCATTTTCTTCAATCTTGGTAATTTCAGCAGCCACGGGACTGCAGTGAAGCATCTGTGGTGTTTTCACATAATGTGTCCTTCATTACCTCCTCTGCTGTACCCGTTCATTGCTGGACGATGAAAGGAGGAGTGCTGATCCTGAGGGGTTCCCAGGGAAGGGGCAAACAGCCTTCCTCATCCTTCCTCCTCACTACTGGAGTGCCCAGAGACCTACCAAGTTGTTCTTGCTATGATTCCGAAGGTTGACTACTGGGGCAGCGTGGGGTGGGAGTGGGCAGGTGTATCTTCCCAGCCACCTGCTGTGGAGAAGTGCAAAACTGCCTGGTAGGTACTGGTTCCCAACATGCCCCTTCATCTGGTGTGAGCGGGAGGTTGAACTAGAGTGTGAGGTGACCACCACCCTGGTCGTCCTGTGCTGTTGGGGGTCCTGACCACCCCTCTGTGGTTCAGCAAGTCTGTTCCTGCTTCCCTGGAGCTCCCCAAGGCTGGGCTGACACCTCTGCCTTCAGTTTACTGCTCTTTTGGGGGGAAGGGCATGTCCTTTCACTTGGCAGATGCACGACCTTTCGCTGACCAGCACCAGCTCATGGCCCTGGAGCATCAGCTCAGATGTGCTGTGAGATGTGTCTGACCTTGACAAAAATCTCCCTGCAGCTCACCAGGTGCGTTGCTCAGTGGGTTTTCCTGGAGGAAAACAAGAGGAGCAGTGTGGTAGCAGCACGCTCCTGGCCTGCAGAGCCACGCAGGAAAGAAGACGCTGGTGTGGTTCTTGATGATGCTGTTGCAGCACCTTGGTGATATCTACCCGAGTCCTGCTTGGCTGGAACATGCTCAAAAACATGAACATGAGCACTTTACCTTAAAAAATAAAAATGTGTGTTAGTACTTCCCTACTACTTAGGTGCCTGATTTCCCACTGAGATTCATCTTTAAGCATTTAAACCTTGGGCTTTTGACAAGGGACCATGTGTGTTCACCCAGTGCCTTTAGGAAAAGTCCAAAAACTTTAGATTTTTTTTATCACCTCCTTTGCTCTGAAGCAGTGGAAGGACAACAAGGAAGCTGGGGAGCTTGGCAGGTAGGGTACAGCTCCTGTTACAGCAGGGTATTTGGAAGTCCTTCTTTTGAAGGAACCCTTTGGTTGTGCTGTGGCCTCAGTAGGATCACTAGGGGTGCAGCGAGGAATTCCATTGCACCAATTTCCACCCATAAAAGGAAGCCTCTTGTTCAAAAAGAAGGCTGGATTCTGGCAGCCTGCAACTCCTGTGCTCCTCTGGATTAAACCGAAGTTGGTGGAAAAGAATAGCCATGAAATCTCCCTCCTGGAGAGCGCTGGTTGCCAGCTTCTGGTTTCCAACCCATTGACACAATTTCCCAAATAGTCCCACAAAAGCCACAGCTGGGACCCTTGTAAGGGCGGGCTCTGCTAGGCTGCGACTTAAAGGATAATATGAGGTGGGGACCCAGCGATTGGAAGGCATTGTCACGCATCTTCACATGGCTGAACGCTCAAAAGCATCTGCTTGTTGGTGGAACACCCTGTGCTGTGGGCAGCGGATCCATTGGAAAAGTGGTCAGGAACAATGGACTGTGATGCAGATGGCTGGAGGGAAGGTGGACATCTCAAAGGAATGTCTAACCAAGTCTGGAGCAGATGCTGCACAGCAGAAAACCAAATTATTACTCTCCAAGATACTTTTCTGGGGGAGCTGCTGTATGGTTCAGGCTTTACGTTCACCTTTAGGTTAGTTCTGATGAGTTATGCATGGTGAGAGACTTGGTATGTGACTTTCCCTGTAAGCGAGGATCCCCTTATCCAGCTCCCCCCAAGGTGAATGTCTTGCTTTGAATTTGGAAGAGCTGTATCTAGCCCAGAAAATGAAGCCCAGCCATTTCAGGATGGAGAACAACACAGATTCTGCCTGTAGGTGTATATAAAGGTACTTCTAGATGCTCTATGTGCTGTTTTAATCTCTCTATGCCAGTGTGGTGTCTCAGTCAAAGGGGGGTGGTGGCTGGGGGTGACCAACAGCTGGGCTGCGTGGGGCAGGAGCCGTGCCACAGCCCATACCCGAGTGCTCTGGGTCTCTCCCAGAAGCAGAGACTGACCGATGCAGGGTGATTTAGAGAGTTTCTGGCCTTTCTTGCAATTTTGATGGATGACACAGATGCTGCTTTATGTTTTCTTTTGTACAGCAGTAAGAAGTCTGTCCTGGTGTGCAAATGCCATTATTAATACAGCTGTCTCTCTGGAGAGATGTCTTGATGGAGCAGCTTTTCAGGAGGAGTAAGTATTTCTGCGCAGTTACCTCTGCAGCTCTGAGAGATCCTGCTGCGACCTGCAGAGCTCTCTGCATTCTCCAGCTTGCTTTCTCGCCTTTATTTCCCCGTCAGGCTGTTAATGTTAATAAGGGCCGAGCCCAGCAGGGCTCGTGGACCCATCCAAGCTCTGTCCCCATGGCTCTGAACCCACAGATATGCTCTGCACTCTCCCTCCACCAGAGTTAGGCTCAGCATTAAAAACAAGGGGCAAGTCAGCTTCTCAGAACTTCATGTGGGTGTAAAACGGGGATTAAGAGCAGCTCCACCCAAGTCCAGGTCACTGACAATGTTGTCAGGCAGGGTTTCAGCTCTATGGTTGCTCCAGACTTTGCTATTCATGGGCATCTTCTGCATTCACTGCTCTTTCCCAGGTCCTTTCTTCCCTACGTCTTGCCCCGGGGCATCTGGCCCTCACTGCCACCATCTTCAGCTCTATCACCTTCTCTGCTGTCTCCTCTCCCTTACACAGCCCAGTCTGCTGGGATCCAGTAAGTGGCAGAGATCTCTCCCATCCAGGTGAGAGCAGGCACCTTAACCCTTTCCTCCGGAGGGTCCTGAGGGAGGCTGACACTGGGGGCTTTTGTGGCCAGGGTAACAGGATGTTCAGCTGGGTCCTGCTTTGGTGGCTCAGCTGTGCAGAGAGGGGTGACGTGTGGTTGTGCGTGCTCAAGCCCCAGCTCTTGCTGCATTTAGGGCTTGTGCCCTCTGCCTGGGGTCAAAGCATGGCTCACCCTGGGGTGTTTGTGGACCTGGGGCTCCCACACTGAGAAGCTTGTCCTTGCCCATTGTCAGCCTTGTGTGCTGGGAATTCACTTAGAGATACCCCTAGCTTGCATAGAATCGTAGAATCCCAGGTTGGAAAGGACCTCAAGGATCATCTGGCCCAACCTTTCTAGGTAAGAGCCCAGTCTAGACAAGATGGCCCAGCACCCTGTCCAGCTGTGGCTTGGAAGTGTCCAATGTGTCAGAGTCAACCCCTCCCCTGGGGAGATTATTCCAATGGTTGACTGCTTTCGTGGGGAAAAATTTCCCTCTCATGTCCAATCGGAATCTCCCCAAGATCAACTTGTGTCCATTCCCCCTTGTCCTCTCCATGGGACTCCTTGTGAAAAAGGAGTCTCCATCTTCCCTGTAGCCACCCCTTAGGCACTGGTACGTGGTGATCAGATCCTCTCTGAGCCTCCTTTGCTCCAGGCTGAACAAACCCAGCTCTCTCAGCCCATCCTCATACGGCTCAGAGAGGTTTCCCAGCCCTTGGATCACCTTGGTGGCCCTGCTCTGGACCCCCTCCAGCCTGCCCACAGCTTTTTTGTATAGTGGGGACCAGAACTGCACACAGGATTCCAGGTGTGGCCTGACCAGTGCTGAGCGGAGTGGGATGGTGTCTTCTGTATCCCTGCTGGTGATGCTGTTGTTGATGTACCCCAACACCCTGTTAGCCTCCTTGGCCACAGCAGCACACTGCTTGCTCCTATGGAGCTTGTTGGCCACCAGGGCCCCCAGGCCCAGCTTTGTGCTGGGTTTATACATCAACCCCTAATAGTGAGATTTTTTCTGGCAGCAGGCACTGGTGTTGGAAAGGGGAGCACTGGTGTTACTTTCTAGGGGAATCAGATTTTAAACCTGGCTAACACCATCCTCTTGTAGCACAAGCAGGACCATCAGTGACCAGAGGAGCACCCAGTAGCATGCAGAGACCGTACTAAAGATAACAAGGTCAGTCCAGCTTGAAGGATAACTTCACAGAAAGCAACCAAGTGATCTGCGTGAGTGGATTCTGGCCTGCAGGACCTGCAAGGGGAGTTTGATGAGAAGGCCAAAGCTGATCAACTGGACACAGCGAAACCAGCTTCCCTTCCTTGCAAAACAATCATGTGAGTGGCAAAGCTGTCCCACCAGGGCTTAGGGACTGCTACGCTGAGATGAGTTCACATCGCTGCTTCTCCTGGTCAGCGTGGCCCGTGCTCAGGAAAGAGGCAGAGCATCGGTGTTAGACCACAGCTGCCGCCTCTGCCCGCGTCAATGGCAGCAGCCCAGGAGTGAGGATGGGCGTCCTCCTCTCCTCACTCTCCAGGTTCTGCGAGCGTCAGTTATGGCAAGGAAGGAAGGGAGATAGTTCCTGTAACAGCCACGCAGCCTGAGTCAGACTAAACCCTCGCCAGTTCCTGTGCAGTTGTCATAGAAGAAAAGTCCTTAGGAGAAGAAAAGCACTTAGGAGACAATTATTAGTAGTTTTTAATTTTTTTTTTTTCCCTCAAACTAGCATCAATTTGCTGTGCCAAAGCTGTGTTGGCTGATCAGGGTTAACAGAATTAAAAAGTGGTGAAATGTTTATAAAATCCTGGTGATGAGTCATTGGCAATCTGATACAAAGCAATCCGATGATTAAGAGCACAAGTTTCATATTACTACTTCTGCAACCACATTTATAGGTAGGAGCAATTAAAAATCCTCAGAAGAGATGTCTCAGAGCATCTGTTCTTTGTCTTTTGTTAACTGTTGACTCGTTTGAGGCTGTGGAAGGCGCTGACAGATTCTGCAGTTCCTCTTCTTCTTTTTAACTCTGAAAATCCATTCTCCTGCCTGCTGTGAAGGCTGAGATCTGTTGTATTTCTACTTTCCCCTCTGTTTCCAGATCTGTTTGATGGCTTCGGAGCTGAGGAAGAAGACGCTGCACATGAAAGAGGGGAAGGAGAAAAGCTTGTGTCTGCAGGAGGAGTTTATTCCCCTGGACTGGACATGAAGCCTCGTTCAAGGTATCAGTCACTGGGCCAGAGTCATTATTGACTTGTGAAATGAAACCTGGGTAGCAACAACAAAACATCTGGCCCAGTGGGTCATAGCCAGATTTGTTACCAACCCATGGCCTACTCCAAATGAGCACCACGGTCTCTGTTTAATCTGTAATGAATAATCATATAATTACAGAGGGCTTTTAATGAGCAGGTTCCTTGAAGAGCAGCCAAAGGGCAGAGAAGGGAATCTGTTTTCCATCTTGCCTGTCCCATCCTGGCAGAACGGCATTCATGGGTTTTGGCTGAGATCAAGGGCGTACGGAGACGGGGGAAGCACCCCTGCAGCTAATGGGGTGCTGCTTGGGAGATCTGAGGGCACCAGACCCTAGGACCTCAGACCCTGGCACTGTATCTAGGTGGAGGTACTGCCACTTGCAGATGCTTGTGGCCTGATCGGGGGAATCGCTGTATCTTCTGAGCTCCACAGGAATTTTGGACCATGCCCCTGTGGCCTGCTTTAAGAGCTGCTTGGCCTGATCTTTCAGTTTGGCCCATGTTTGGGAGGTTTGATGCTTCCAGACTGTCCTGTTAGCTAGAGGAATCCCTGCAGGCGTTGGGCGCTGTACAAGGGGAATGTCAGTGAAGCTCAGAAGTTCCTTCTAAAAAGCCAGTGATTGCCAAAAAGTCAAATGCACGCTTTAGGTCAACTCTGATTTACCGTAACAAACCCATTATTGCTGCCCTTCTGTCATGCAGGTTGGAGATTGGGTGAGTTTTGGGTCAATGGCCTTAGGAAGGGGGGGTGTTTCCAGTTTGTTAGTCAGTTATGCCATCTTCCCAGTGGAAGAATGGAGAGATGGGTGCTTCCAAGGAACCTGAAGCAAGGTGATCTTTGCAGCATGCCCTTGGGGCTGCAATGAATACAAATACTAACTGGCACCTATTACCTCAATTTTTTCAAATTATCTTTAGCAGTAGAGAGGCCTCGATTGTCATCCAACGAAGTGGGAAATAGGCCCTGAGTAGCAGGATGAGTCGGTTCTGTTCCCCAGTGCCTTTACTCTAACGCATGCAGCCCAGAAGGATGGGAACGCTGCAGCAGTTGGGCTGGCGGAGGTGCTTTGTGCCAGGAATGCAGGGCTCAGTGACTACTCAAGTATTCTGGGTTTTTCTTCCAGCCTAACCAGCTGGACGGCATGCCTGGGACAACGGAGCCTGGCTTCATTTCCAGCCTGGTTTCACAAACTAGTTGCAAACCTGCACGTGCTGCTGCTTCCACTGCTTCAGAATGGGAGCTCCTCGGAGCACCGGTGCCTTGACTCAGTCGCCGTTCCTTTGAGGGCTGCTTAAACTGCGAGGTGAAGGAGTTGTCCTCTGCAAGGGTTTCTGCCCCACCAAAACCGGGGCAGACCACCTTGCACCCCAGAGCCGGCTTTTCATTTTCTTCTGTTCTTCAGAGCCCTACCAGGCTCTCTCCTGTCATCTCGGGTCCTGCTCCCCTCTCACTTCAGGCTTGGGGAACTTTTTTCCATCCCACTTCTTTCACGCATCCTTTATCCATATTTGATCCACTTGTCGTTTTCATACAGAGCTGTCTGAAAACAGCGGGAGAGGGAGAGGGAGACACTGTACTGGAGGAGCACTGGCTCTTAATTAAAACCATTTGCAGAACAATGGCCAACTCGAGCAGCAGATCAAGGCTCTGGTCTGCAGGTAAGGCCTTGTTTCGGCACTCAGGTGCCTGCGATAGTCTTGAATACATGTTTTATTGGCGTATCTGTCTTGTAGTGATGGCTATCAAAGTGTGCAACAGCCCAGTTAATATTTGCTCCAAACCCTTAGGAGTCCCCAGTGAGTTTGCTAAACTGCACCTTGACTCTACTTGGAGGATATTTATTTGCACAAATTGGACATTATTTGCACAAACTGAAGGACTCACCCAGGTTCTTCCACTCCCACCAAACCTCTCCAGGACAACCCCAAAGCTGTGCCCTTGGGCTGAATTTATGCACCAGAGCAGACTTGGGGGGAGAGGGGAAACACCCACAGCTTTGCAGGGGGTCTTGGGGCTCCCTGCTGCCATGCGGAGGGTCCTGTACCAGCACTATCCCTAGCCCCTGCCTTGCCCTCCCAAACTGGGCTTTCATTACTCTAAAATCAGCCTTTCCAGCTCCTTTTTTGAATCATTTGTCCAAGAACTTGCAGCTTGTGACTGAGCACCACGCTGTTTGGAAACCAGCTGCCATATCCAGAGCTGTTGGCTCTGGCAATAACTCTCAGGTTATTGGCTTTTCTACCTTATATAGTGTTGAGGATGAATCGGTGAAATTTTTAACAAAAAAATTGTGTGTTAAAGTTCAGATAACTTTTTAAAGGCTCAAGAAGATTTTCAGACCTGGGGGGTGTTTGCCTGAGGATTGAGGATAGTAGTGGACGCAGGCCAGAGGGGGTCTGTTGGGGTTTTAAAAGGAGCATTTGCCAATGGAGCCGTCATGTTCAGCAACAAGCAGATTTTTTTAAATTATTTTTTATTCATGAGATGGAGTACCTAATGCAAAACTAGGAGTAAATTGTAATAACTTATCCTACCACTCTTACCCCAGTAATTTCTCTCTTTTATTTTTTGTAAAAAGCTGCTCCCCCCTGGAACAAAGGAGTCACAGGGTCTTTACTCATTAAAAATTGCATATGTATAAAATATCTGTGTTGTCTTTAGTCTAAAATCCCTCACTATGTATGACTTGTACCATATATCAGGACCCATCTCCCGCAGCCTGGCAACTGTCTCGGTTGCTATAGGAACGGCTTTGCTATCCTTTCATGGAGAACTTCAAGTATTCCCATTTCCGTAGCCACTAGAACACCTTGTTTCATTCACTTGCTTGCTCCCATCCAGGAGATCTTCTCCTCCCCATTTGGAGAGTTACTCAGCACTTCTGGACGCATAAATGAAAGCGCATTTGTCAGCTGAAGAGAAGTCACCCAGTACTTGGAGGTGCACGCTTGGCTGGGACATCGCTGCCGCCATTGGGTTTGTTTAACGTGCAGACATACCGTGTAATTAGCATCCCCTACCATGCATTAAAGTGGTGCTTAATACAAAACTATCACAATCCCTGACTTCTGTGCACTTGTCTGCAGTTGTATTCCAAAGGGCAAAAGTTTCTAAGGAACATCTCACCTTGGGTGTTGAACCCATGAGGAGCATAACCTGAGCTAGAGGAGAAGCAGCTTCCTCACCGCACATTTCTTGTGAGATTGTGTGTTATGTGGCTCTCATGCCTGTCCCTGAAGAATCACCCTGGCCAGCGTGCGGAGCCCCACACCGTGTCCGACGGCGAGGCCAGCAGTCCGTCTGCTTACACAGGAGCTGTGGAGTTGGAGATCATGAGGGTCACTGAATCTGCCCCTCACCTGGGCCTCCTTTTCGCACTGAACTGGCACAACTCTGCTAAGCAAAGGTGGGTTGGTCAATCTGCTTAGATGATTCTGGTAATTAAAGAATTGTTGAGGGCTTACTGGTTTGCTTACAGAAAGATTTCACTGGAATAACATGAATTTTGTGAAAGATGCTCTTAGAAACACAAGGTAGGTATGGATAAGGCTTGATTTTAAATGCTGAAAAGAGGGCATTTGTTTTGTTCTATTTATACAAGTGTCTAAACAAGGCTGGGCTATCCCTTTATCCTACTAGAAATATCAGGCACGTGTATTGCTTCGTGTCCTGGGGCTCTCCATGGGGGAAGGGAGGGAGAGGCTGAGGGGATCTGGTGTCACCAGCAGTTCTCAGCTGAGCAAGACCCTACACTGCTAACCAAAAAGAGGTGGAGGGGCTGGGAGAGGAGCTGCGGGGTGGAAAAGACTGGAAGCTGTGGCGCCAGGGTTTTCCTGCACATCAGGTACCCTGCCAGAGCTCTACCACAGGGGAAGCAGCAGCTGAGGGCTTAGGTGAAGAAAAATAACGAGGAGAAAAAAATAAGTGTGGGAAAAGTGAGCAGGAGAAAAGATTTGTCAGCTGCAAAATACTCGGTAATGCTCCCAATCAATGTTAGCTCAGCGCAGCCCCAAATCCTGAGACACTGGGAAGAGGCAGCTCAGAGAATCCCTAGTCATTGACTGGGGGTTCTAATTTATTCTTTGCAGCCAGACAGTGCTCTGGTTGGATAAAAGTGTAGGAAGCTTGTGGCTGCAGAGTAATGCAGACAAAGCACGCGTGAGAGGGAGACAAAAGGGATGGAGTCCCAGAAGATGTGATCCACCCCATTAAAGGAACCGTCCATAGCCTCTGCAGCTGTGTTTATGCTGCTTCACGCAATAGGCACCAGCGTCTCATCCCCCGGGAGATTTTTACAGCATTAATTCACTCCGCACAAAACCCAGCCTGGAAGGCTCCTCTCCAGCAGAGACCTTTTCATCCCTCCAGCTCCCCCCTGTTCCTGACCTTGGCCGCAG